AGTTTTGTGAATACTAGTTTGGGTAACGTACCTTATTCTAGAGAAGGTAATATACTAACATACAATGTGAACATCTGAATAGACCGAACTGCGAAACTAATTTTCCTTATAATACTACAAATATCCTCAAACTCCACATATAAGGGGCTACGGGGAAAACCTGAATAAGATATTTTGCGCAAAATTTGATGTTCCTATCTTTAGTCATAAAAATGGTTTGAGTTTGGCAGTGCTTGTATGACGTCATTAATTACGTACATATATATTTAAAAAACATCAGGCAGATCAAGGAAGGAGTTGGTGTCGTGTCGTATCAAGAGGTGAAGAGACTCGCTGAAAATCGTAGTGAGTGGCAAGAGCTCCACCGACAAGAGCGCAGCTCTTAAATAGGATAGATAGATAGATATTTAAAAATAATCAATTATTTATTACCAATACAGCTTAATGCCGGCTCTTCATACGTGGGAATTTCAAAAGTAGGAAAACCAATAACAGCAGAAAAGAAAAAAGAGGAAAGAATAGAAAAACAGACCACTCCTTGATGAATGATCCTTTATTTTGATACAACGTATATTAGTTTTGGCCGTGTGGTCTCGGCACAGAATGGGCTACCCCTTCTTATCCCGTGGGTGTCGTAAGGAGCCGACTAAGGAAGGGCGAGGGATGGGCAGCAGCATTCTTGTCGAACACATCTAAAGCCTAACTGCGGTTGCCAATCCGCCTGCCAAGCATAGCAACGACTGGACAATTAAAGTCTAATATGATGATGATTATAAATATAAGTCTATATTATATATATATTTTTTTTTTAATCAAGGGCAAGATCTATCTTAATACTAAATTCCATTAAACTTTGTTCAATCGTTCAAGCGTTATTGTGTAACAGACATTTAAATAACTATTCTACAAACTTTCACAAGTACAAGTTACTATTTAGTATAGATTGGTACTTAGCTTAAAAGTGTTACAAAACTAAGCACGTACTTTAAGTTACACAATAACCAATGAAGGTTTTCTAAAAGGTTAAAAATGTGTTTGCATGATACTTAAGACGAATATGATGTATGTAAATTATAGAAAAAAAAAGTTAAAAGTTTAATGGCTGTGCTTACGTAGTTTTTTTTTTAATGGGTGATAATGGAATGGTAACGGGAGGGAAAGGGACTGTTAGTAATGGAAACTGAGAATCCCATTGCTAGCAATATATCTAACCAGGTCGACCTCCTCGCGGTACCCCCTGGAAACTATCATGGTTAATTCCTTGAATGAATTCGTCATGATAGGCTAACTGGCCTCTTTTTATTCTCATTTATCACCCTTCACTGGTGCTCCGCCAGCGTATCTCGTTAGCGCAGGCGGGGCTACCATACCATTTTCACCCATAAAAAAAAATGGAATGGTAACCCCACCCGCGCTATCGGTATACACCGACGGGGCACCAATGAAGGATGATAGGTGAGGATGAAGTAGGTCAATTAGCCCATCGTGACGAATTCAACAAGAATTGTTCACGATGGTTTCCAGGGGGAACCATTTGGAGGTCGACCTTATAGGGCATATTGCTAGCAATGGGGCTGTCAAACTCTATTGCTAACAATCCCTTTCCCCCCTGCTTACGTGGTTGTGTATCGGTTTATACGGTGGGATATGGCTATGAAATTACAGTATAGAGAGGCATAACACCTTAGACTTTTGGAATAGTAATATTTTACGTTATTTCAATGTATTTAAGGCCATTGGCGTCACAGTGTATCCTGTGATGTTTATCATCTGTCGTGTCGAACTTATGAACCATGTGATAGGAGTTGATAAACTTGCGATGATGATGATGATAATTGATGTGATGTTTCATCATATGCACTGTAAACTGTCCACTGCTGAATATAGGCCTCCCCCATGAGGGCGAGTTTGCCAGTACAGTGTTAACTCGCCAGCCAATAGTGCCAACTACTAGCTATTAGGTTGGTAACCGTAGTTTTTTTTTTGATGGGTGAAAATGGTATGGTAACTCCGCCTGCGCTAACGGGATACACTGGCGGAGCACCAGTGAAGGGTGATAGATGAGAATGAAAACAGGTCAATTAGCCCATCATGATGAATTCATCAGGAATTAACCATGATAGTTTCCAGGGAGAATCACGAGGAGGTCGACCTGGTTGGGTATATTGCTAGCAATAGGATTCTCAGTCTCCATTACTAACAATCCCTTTCTCCCCGACAACCGTAGTTAGGTTTTAGTGTTGTTTTATCAGAGGAATTTTATCATAATAACAAGTTTTTTTTCTTTTTTGTGGAATTAAATGTCAAATTATTGCATGTCACTATGTTACACAAGACTTCAAAACTTCACTGACAAAATTAATACAAAAAAATTGTGTTAACATAATTTATTCATATTATTCTTAAACTAGCATTTAATATTACGTATCACATATCAATTTTCACAATATTCAATTTAAAAACTAAAAACAAAACATAAATATAGTAGTTAAAATTGTACATTTACTGTTTTGGACGGATTAATTATAACAGTCAAAAAGTTTTTATGTGTGAGTGCTAATAACAAATATACTTACATAATTGACTGCCTATTAATTTGTCACAATAATATTGTTTGTTAATTTTATTTTATAGTTATTTTATATATAAATAAAGTTTTCTAATTTATTCAGTATAAACCTGTATATGAAAATGTTGAAACTAATAAAAAAAAAATTTTCGTCACTCATTCATTTATTTTCCTTTCGTAATCATCATCATCACTAGTAATTTCAGCAATATCAACAATAAGTAGTTTCATAGATAAATATAGGTGCTCCCATAATGAAAGAAACACCATTATCTGATAAAAATTTAATGTCAATGGAGCTCCAGTTCGAACACCACGGATATACCAGATAACACTCTAACTAACACATTTTATAAGTTGTCAGTTCTGAATACTGTACCTTATAATTTCACTGGCATATTTCACTATTCAAACAGAAACACAGTCATGCAAATTTAACTGTTCGTTAGTGTAAACACGAGTGGGACAGGTAGGTACCCATGCAGACTACTATGTATAGTAAATAGTCTCTGATTGACTATCTGTGAACTCCAATTTGGTTTGTGAGGCAAAATATAGTGTGACAAAAGCAAGAATTTCAATTGGCAAATTTCGCAATTTCGACAAATTCTGAGCTAAGTGCGACTCGATACTGATAATGTTTGTTAGTGCTGCAATCCAAATTGATCTCTATTCCAACGCAATAAGTCTTAAAATTGATCTAAATGAGTGAATCCATTAGTTATTCGATTAGGTGCACTGATGTAACCGCTATAGGTATCCACAGATGAAACAACAGTTATGTAATTTTTAAATGTCATTATACAGTTCATGCAACTATTTTGCTGCAGCAAATATCTCCTAATTAACACAGATAAAACTTTACAGCATACCCAGAAAATATCCTTATTTTGAATTTAATTTAAATACTTTTATTTTAATTCTAGCACAACCAGTGATTTCAGAACTAAACTACTAATCGATGAATCGATTTTGACATTTCTATAGGATCAATTTGTAATTATATAGTTTCTAATAAAAAAGAGTTATCCAAATCGGTTTATTGCTGATGGAGTTATGAGGTAATAAAGATAAAAAAAAAATACAACCGAATCGAGAACCTTGTTCTTGTTGAAGTCGGTTGAAAAGTAAAGAAGTCAATTTATAGTTAGTTGTTTGATTATATCTATTTTTAATATTTTTTTTTAAAATTTGTGTTCACTTTTTAAGGTTATTTAAATATATGCGTTAGGATCATTTCAATATTATTCAGCGATAACACAGCAAGTTCATTGCTGTGTTATCGCTGAATAATATTGATGTGAAAATAATTATTCTATATAAAATGGGGGAAAAAACTCTAAAATTGTTATTTAAAATATTATAAACGTCAGTTAGGAGGTTTTGTTGGTTAACCGTCGATTTGATATGGAGTTCCTTAAAATTGCGTTCGCTTTTAACTGTCTACAGATATCAAACGTCCAGTGTTAAGTACATATTAATTTTAATATACATATGAATTACTTTAGTTAATTATTAATAATGTTATTAGTTGTTCTTTAAAGCATTAAAATAACATGGCTAAGATTGGAAACGTAAAATGGGCCTTGTTTTGAAATTTTTAAGTCATATTTAATATTTATTACGGTAACTGTTTATTATTAATAAATTAATAAAAAAAAAATCAAGTTCATTAGATACGTCATGGCAATGCTTATAGCTAACTTTTAGTTTTTACAGTTTCTTTTTTTTAAATACAAACATTATTCGATATTTAATTCTGTCGCTTTTAATAAACGTTTTAAGAAAAATTACAACTAGTTTATTGTCTCTTGGACTATCTTAACTTATTTATACATCTACTTATAATAATAATAAAAAAATATTGTCAATTTGTAATAAAATATAATTTATATATCTATCCTTTATTTTTTGTCAAGTAACATCTAAATGTAATTGGCAGAATTTTATAGTTTCTGTCTACAAAATCGTGTCTTTGATTTGAAATCGGCACACTTAGACTATATAGATGGTCTTCATACAAATACTTTGTCAAAAACAGGTCAAATATTTTATCTATATGTGCATAAATCGGGTTACCAAGTATTACAGTTAATACCTAAGAACAAGGGATTACATAGAAGGGATTATAAAATAAAAACTGTATATCATATGGTTGCCTCCTTTCTTCTTATGCAAATATAATTAGTAAAAAGAGGACGAAAGATACACCATCAGTTGCTATTTTACTCAATTTATAGCAGGCTAATGTATAGAAGATGAAAGAAAAAGCGCGTTTTGTTTCGATAAAAAAATAGCTGAATGTTCAATTAACTGATTAAATTTGACACGTTTTTGACAGTTTGACATATGTTATATCTATATAATTTAAGTTGGTACACAAATAAAAAGAAAAATTCACACGTTGGATCTTAATATACTCACAATTAAATTATATAGCAAATGGCATCTACTTTTTTTCTTACCAATGTCATAAAAATAGGATCTATTAATTTAATTTCTTAATAAATTAATTATTCTATTATTGTTTTATTACTTTCCATATTTTAATTAAGTCCATACTTAAGTAAGGGTCGGCAATCCTTCCTTTCCCGTGGGCATCGTTAGAGGCGACAAAGGGAATTCAATTTTTGAGAGATGAGCAGCAGCGTCCCTCTCAAAACATCACCAAAGCCTAACTGCGGTTGCCAACCCACTTGCCAAGTGTGGCAACTATTGGCATAATCCCCCAATCTATGGGGAGGCCTTTGTTCGGCAGTGGACAGGTAACGTCTGATTTGATTAATAGTCGGCAATCACTAAAATGGCACGACGCAGCAATCATTATTTGCTACACATTCTAATTGTTCAAAAAATAAATGTATAAATATATAATTTTCTGTATATAAATACACAATAAACTAGCATTTTGCCCGCTACTTCGTTCGCATCGATTTCAGGAGTAGGAAAACTAGTAAAATCAATCACTTCGACGTATCGTGATAAAACATACATCAGGTTTTAAGTCATATCTACATGAACACAAAGTTGAAAACCGTATTTAATTTAGCGCAAAATTTTTTGTGTAATGTCGGAACAAATATACAGATAGACAGACAGACAAAATTTCTGAAAAAATATTGTTTTGGTTACCATTGGCCATATTAAAACTTCTCATATTAGTTTTCCTTAAATATTTCTCATGGACGGAGTTTTTATTATTCTGTGTCGGAGCCACAGGATTTATCATACACGCAATAAAAATCAATTAAAAATGTTTTACTTACAATTATTAATACTATAGAAAATAAGACGCGATTATTCTGTATAAAATAATAAGGCTAAAGAGTCAATGAAAACAGAGATGACTCCAAAAATAGATGAATGGAAGAGAACACATAATACATTGATTCGAAATAAAAATAAGGAAAATAGTTAGAATTAAGTTAACATTACAAAATTTAGATATATAAAATAAACCACTAGGTGTTAATGCAACCTGAAAGAAAATGCTTGAAAATATTATTTTTACATGCAAGAAAACTTTATAGAAAATGATCAATGGTTCACTTTAGAGAAATACAATTCTATTTGTTTACGGTAAATTACTTAAACATTTTAATCATAAACAATACCGTTATTTATACTAACAGACAGTTATTTAAAGAACTTGTTAATCTTAGACCCTTTCTCTTAAACTTTAACGTAAATTCATGCTAAAGTCATTGACAATCTGAATAATCCTCTGTAGTAAAATCTAGTGACCGTTAACTCTAATATCGTCATAGTCGTAGAATACTGACGGATCTTTTTTATGTAATATTTGTCAGATCCGTCAGTATTCTACGACTATGACGATATACTTATGGTCAATATAACAGCAGTGATAATTTACAAATTCTGTTATTTCTTCATCACAATAAATTTCATATAATTGTTATGTTCGTCTGTGACGATAAAATATTAGAATTATTATGCACAACCGTATTTAGTGAAAATTATATCACAGCTCATAAAACTAGTGTTTCATTAATTGCTTTCATTGTACTATTTGATACACCTAAAACAGGGCTAGAATCGATGGTATTAAATTTGTGGATCATTCCCTGAATAGATACATAGGAACCGGCAAAGAGAGCGATGAGCGATATCATGGAAATGAAGACATTCTTCCAGAGGATCCAGTTGTAGGTGCCAAGACCTCGGTCCCAGTTGTGGACGGTGTCGACGATGGCGGGCGTCAAGAGACCGAGGCTGGAGAGGAAGATGGCACCGCAGAGACTGATGAAGAGCTCGAGATCCGGAAAGGCGGCAGCTAGGGCCACTGTAAACATAAAAAATTGCATTTTCAGTTTGTCTTTGTACGACTTGGAATGGTTGAATCTACTTGATTGAAAGTGATAACTGTTATTAATATACAAGATATTAATGTTATCTGCTGTTAGCATTACTAAGTTACAATGATGGCTGTGCAGTCCTGGCATAAAATAGGCCATCCCTTCCTTTTCCATGGGTGTCGTAAGAGCCGATTAAGGGACGGCAAGGGATGGGCAACAATACCCGTCTTAAATATTTCTAACGCCTAACTGTGATTGCCAATCCGTTTGCCAAGCATGGCAAAATTTACCAACTTATGTTCAGCAGTGGATAGTTAAAGGCTGATATGACGATGAATGATGCTATTCCTAAAACCAGGGATGATAAACTCCTAGCAGAAGAGATTTTACTATTTAAACAATTGAATTTAAACAATCATGACACTGCTTTAAGCCATATGCTTGAGTTGTTGTATAATAAATAATTAGATTTTAATTATATACTTATTCTATTATTTGCGTAATTGTAGATATGTGTCACATGAACAATATTTTTTTTTTGCATAACTTAGAATGGCAAACAAGCTGACGGCCCACCTGATGGAAAGATGTAACCGTCGCCTATAGACATGAGCAGTACCATGGACATAACAGAGTATACTGGTTCGTCCATGATACCCCCCATGCATTGCCATTCATGAGGATTCAGGTGTTATTCCTCCGTACCTAGTAAATTCACGCCATATTCCATCCTTCAAACCGAAACACAGCCATGCAAACACAACTGCTTCACGGTAGAAACACGAATGGGATAGAGGTGCCCAAGCAAACGACTTTTGTACAAAATCTCCCTCTGGTAATGTTACTAGCAAATGAACTAATAGTAACTTTTTCATGGTATTTCGAATGGCAAACGAGCAGGCGGTCCACCTAATGGGCAATAGCAACCATCTTCTATAGTTATGAACTGGAATTTCAAACAGAAACACAGCCATACAAACACAAGTGCTTCAACGCAGACACGAAATGGGACAGAGGTAGATAGAGAGGTCTTTTGTACAAAATTTGATATAAAGTCTGCTGTAGAAACGTTCACCATAAGACGAATCATACGCATGTGTTTTAGGTTATATACCTTAACCTTAGATTATATAGAGCATTGAGCCTCAAAAACGGGTTAAGTTTTTGTCAGCTAATTGTTAAATTAGCTGTCTCGTTTTTTTTATGAATGTTCTATATACTTATGCACATAATGTCTTTTGACATATCTATATTTAATTATTTGGTAAAATAAATGAGTTTTTGCGCATTAAAAAGATGCAAAAATTATAAGACAAAATAATGATAGAAGTTATAAAGGAACGACACATAACTATTTATCACGCGAAGTTGTATGAAAAAGTTGACCCGCTTTTCTCAAAGCATTTGTGTGGAGACACTCTATCTATATTATTTTATTTATTTATTTCAAGTAAACAGTTACATAGACAATATATATACTTAGTGCTGCGAAACTGCATTGCAGTTTGTCTGCAGCTTTGCGCTCTTGTACATACAGCTTTTAAACAATTATAAACTTATATCTTTATACATACATATACACAGATATGCATATATACACATACATATACATACAGACACATATGTATATACTAATACTAAATATAATCTAAGATGATAACATTACCTGAACCGACAACAGCAGCGGTGCGAATAGAGATCTGCGTGATATTGTGGTATCTAACGGAGATACTGTTGTGCAACTGTCGCCATATCATCTCCATGGGCACGTAGAATTGCAGGCTGTATGTGAACAGGATGGCCAGCGCCATGAGGATTTTGGCACTTTGGGCCAGGCTGAAAGCGAAATGGATATTTCTTATTAAATAAAGAACTTAGATAAATTTCACTTATAGCAGGGGTCGGCAACCTGCGGCTCTTTGGATGTGATGCTGCGGCTCTTTAGTTCCGTACGCAAATACGAGTATTTTGCAAAAAAAAATTCTCCTGTATCGATTAGAGAGGTTTAAGTACCAAACTTTATTTATACAAGTACTATTTATAGTAGGCAAAAAAAAAAAAAGAATTGTGGCTCTTAAAATCTTTGAAATTTAGTAAATTGTAATTCCGACTCAAAAGGTTGCCGAGCCCTGACCTATAGACATAAACAGTAATATGGATATTATAAAATACATAATAATAACATTAATATTATGTGTCCAAATCCATTATTTTTAAAATATGGGAACAATATGAGAATTTATCCTTTCATACAAAAAAAAACATCCAAATCGGTTTATAATAATAATAATAATACTTTCTTTATTATAGATTACAAAGATCCATTTTTGTTAGTAACAATTGACTTAAACTATGTTAGTTGAAAAAAAAAAATACAAAATTCATTTTATGGCCCCTATAATAATTTTGACCCACAATGAGAGGACCGGGCTATCGTATTTATTACACAATGCCCATAGAACGCTGTTACTGCTACCACGCAATCGGTATAAAAGAGATGCAATCCTGATTATAACTGAGTACTGAGGTATCAAACATAAAAAAAAAAATATAACCGAACCGAGAATTTTCTTTTTTGAAATGGGTTGAAAATACCATAAATGTACCTTGTAAATTAAATAAATATAAACAAAACATATACCTTGTAAATTAATTAATTAAAAATACCATAATGGTAACTTTATAGATATAAGTTTAAAATAATCGCTAAAGTATTTTGCCTCTGAGTCTTTCCGGATAACCCAAGACCTAACAACCGTAATCACATAAGACCCTAATCACGCAAACCTTTGTCATGTACATATATAGTAAAATTGCTTTTATAACTCTTGTGCTGATCGTTGAAACCAGATTTGAAAGTCTTTTTAACCGACTACAAAAATGGCGGTGGTGCACAATTCGGTTGTATTTATTTTTAGGTTTTCTACCTCAGAAGTCTGTTACTATTGATTTATTGATATTTTGTTTTTCAATCGATTTTAAAAAGAAAAATACTTGTTTGTAGTTTTTTACTTTTTTGGGAAATTATTTTTCTGTCTGAAAGGTTATAATTACAGATTAGTGTCAGAGAAATTTATTAAATTCGGTTTAGTAGGTTAGTTTTTTAATTAAAATAACAAATTTTGCCCTAAATAAAGTAATTGTTTTTATTTTGTGGACAAAAATCTATTATCTTAGATGTCTGTTATAGAGTCTACATAATGAGCAAAAGTCTTTTTTTTTATACAACTTAGAATGGCAAACAAGCTGACGGCCCACCTGATGGCAAGTGGTAATCGTCGCCTATAGACATGAGCAGTACCATGGCCATAACAAAGTATACTGTTTCGCCCATGATACCCCCCCATGCGTTGCCATTCCTGAGGAGTCAAGTGTTATTCCTCTGTACTCAGTAAATTCACGCCATATCTCACCCTTCAAACCGAAATACAGCCATGCATTACAAACATACATAAAGACAGAAAAAAATATATATTATTTTGGCATCTATTGGTCTTATTAAGACACTCCATATAATTTTTTCTTAAATATCTCCCATGTACAGTACATTGTACACTTATTTTTTTTTAAATTAGTAGTAATAAAAGTAATAAAATTAGATTTAAAATTGCCAGAGTTACTCACATTTCGTCTTGCGGTAGATTCAAAGTGACACTGCCTCTCACATCATCTCCGTATTTGATGTATCCGAAGAAACCCACAATCCCATATAGAGATATTACAACGGTCATGGCCACATTCAGGACTCCGGGGCATCCCAAAAACTGTTCTGGTTTGGCCATTTCATTCTCGACAGGCATCACGACTCCGATGCCTTCCATTGCGAAAATAACCGTGCTGTGAATAGAATAAAGTTCAATTTAGTGTAACGCACAGGTCTGTGAGAAACAATTAGGCGCGGAATGTCTAAATGAGGAATACTTTTTACGAAGGCAATTCATGTTTTTAATTGGGACATTAGTGTTAATCTTTATTTTTATCGCGTTAAGGTTTTGTTTCGTAGTACTTTTACAAGAAATACAGGTTATCTTAAAAAAAAATACCCAAACAATTATGAAGCACCGGTAATTTTAATTTACACAAACACTTTGTATTTCGTATATTGACGTATATTCGTCTGTATAGTTTTTGTTTGTTTATAAAATTCTATAGTGTCATACAAACTTAGAGATAAAGACAATAAAAAGGAAAATCACTTTTTGACCGCCAAAAAAATATCAACCTATAGAAAAAATAATTCTAAAGAATGTGTGACGAAAAAGGTTTTTTCCGACCAACGTTCATTATTCTTTAAGTGTATTGTTGAAAAAATCCATAAGAGGTATGCGTTATGGCGCATAAGTTACATTAGACAATATTAGAATTAATATATTGAGGTTTTCCAAGAGTCCACAGCATGGGGTTCTTCAATAAAGAGGTAGAGATTTTTCAGAGCCGGCAATGCGTGCGTACTGCTCCTGGTATTGCAGGCGTTCATAGGCTACAGTAACTACATTCTTCACGACTCTGGAACGCGCTTCTTGATGCCATTAAGAGACTACCCACTAAATCGTCTTTAAAAAAAAACGTTTACGCTAACTTTTTTACTTTATCCGAGCAGTAAGTGCTTTATATTATTCTCAATTTCGTGTATAATATAGTATATGTCATATATATGTAAGTATATTTGTTATTCATATAGATTTATTCGTTTATATATGTAATTTTAGTATGTATGTATATCAATAACTAGTAGTACCGCATTCGAGTATTCTGACACTACCCTATGGTTGACTGGGAGAGAATACTTTTAGCATTAAGTCCGCCATGTACACATATTTGTACTAATGAATAAATAACCGCTTACCATTAAACGGGCTGTGTGCTTGTTTGCCAACTCAATGGAATAAAAGTATATAATACATACTGTAGATAAGTTTATAAAGATACTTGTTTGCCATTCTAAGTTGCATTTAAAAATCTTGAAAAAACGTTTTTGGTCAAAGCCTTTTTTGTCAGGTAGAATATTGGCTCTGCTTGACAATAGATGGCGTAACAAATAAACTAAAATATGAAATTATGATTAGATACTAGTCGATTTTCTAATAACAAATGGATTTTTTTTTATGTAACTTAGAATGGCAAATAAGCTGACGGCCCACCTGATGGAAAGTGGTAACTGTTGTCCATAGACATGAGCAGTACCATGGACATAACAGAATACACTATTTTGCTTTTGATACCCCCCATGCGTTGCCATTCCTCAGGTGTTATTCCTCTGTACTACATATTTCATTTTACATTTCACAGCCATACCCCACCCAGCCCGCCCCACCCAAACCGAAACACAGCCATGCAAACACAACTGCTTCACGGTAAAAACACGAATGGGACAGAGTTGCCCAAGCAAAAGACTTTTGTACAAAGTCTCCCACCGGTCTAGAAATATTATTAAAATATGATGTGATATGAAATGTATTTCAAAAATTTTTGAATGACATTTTTCGAATCCCGTCCGCTTCATAATTTTTTAATCATTTTATACTTGATAAAACATTATTTGCATGTTTTAATTTGTAAGCACAAGTAATTAATAATATCATTTAAATAGCTATTTACCTTATAAATAGAGGCCACTGTGTAACACTAGCAACCATCTCCCTCTCAGCGGGGTTTGGTAGTCCGTTGAAGATGTAGTACATGGTGATTGCGAAACAGATGACCAGAAACACGTTGGCGATCGCCGAAAATGGTACCAGCCATTTGAGGTTCCGTATTTGGCAGATGAGAACTAACGGCACTAAAGTCAAAGCGCAATAGGTCTCGACGGAGAGCTTGTAATCTGGTATGTATTCATCCAGGACCTGAAAGAATTGTTACGTTCTTTAATTAAATTGAAAAATTTTTTAGCCGTCATTTCTATATGTATTCTTTATTAAACTTATAAATTAGGTACATTGTTAATGCATTTATAAATATTGTGAGCAAGGGTGGACTTATCTTTGACAGAGATCTCTTCCAGTCAACCCAATACAGTTAGTAAGTATGTCGTAATTTCGTTTATGAGATTGGAATCTTAGATTATATAGATAGTTTCTATACAAATGCTTCGAGAAAAGCGGGCCCACTTTTTCATACAATTTTGCGTGATAAATAGTTGTGAGTGATTCCTTTACAACTTCTATATTTATTTTATTTTATAATTTCTGCATCTTTTTAATGCGTAAAAACTCATTTTATTTATTAAGTAATTAAATACAAATACGTCAAGATAGATTATGTGCGTAAGTATATAGATCATTAATAAAAAAACGAGTCAGCTAATTGTCAAATTAGCTGACTCAACAAGTTGACCCGTTTTTGAGGCTCGACGTTCTATCTATATAACCTAAGACTGGAATATATTGAATAAATAGTAACCTACGTCATTTTTCATCCTAAATAGTATGTGTTTACAATATTTAGATGAGCCGTTATGGCCAGTGTTGCCAGCTTGTGTACTTTTTGCGTTTTGGGTAAAATTTTTTCGCTAAATTTTGAAGAATAGTGAAATGTACTTAGATAATTTGGGTAATGTTTTGAACAGTTTTGGTATTTATAAAATATATAGAGGTATATAAATACAATAAAACATAGAATGAAGGTAGCAAAACAAAGGATAGGATTATTGAGAATTGGTACAAGTTTGTGATTGGGTGAAAGTCCCGGAAATCGTATCAGTTTGGGGTAAAAATATCTAAGTTTGGGTGAAAACGATAATTCAAACCTAGCAATCCTGCGTATGGCATTTTTTTCCTGGTCAATAAACATATATATTAGTAACGTGGACGAAATAGCATCTAAAAACTGGTCTTTTATGTCTTTTAAATATCTAAATATTCTACTATACTACTATATAGTTGTGTTTGCATGGCTGTGTTTCGGTTTGAAGGGTGGGATATGGCGTGAATTTACAAGGTACAGAGGAATAACACCTGAATCCTCAGGAGTGGCAACGCATGGGGGGTATCGTGGGCGAAACAGTATACTCTGTTATGTCCATGGTACTGCTCATGTCTATAGGCGACGGTTACCACTTTCCATCAGGTGGGCCGTCAGCTTGTTTGCCATTCTAAGTTGTATAAAAAAAAAATTAATCACTCCTAGTAACAAACATCCTAATATCTTTATGGTAAAACTCCCCTTTTATCTAAATAAATATGCTTTGTTAATATAAATTATGAAACCAATTTGTGAAAGGTACTAGGTAAATACGGAAATTATTCATTAGTCAATAAATAAAATATTGAGGATCCCTTAAGCTATTTATTATGTAAGCCGCTAATTAATTCAGCCACGCTAATTGCGAATCCTGATTTAATAATTGACTAATGACCCATCCCGGTTTTGTACGAGTTTAAATTAGATGTATTATTATTGTACGTACTAATTTTTAGTATAAGAATAAATCGTACACTATTTTAAAACTTTGTAATAGTCATAATTGTTGTTGTTTTAAAATTCGTTCAAAATGAGCAGGCAAAGAGCATGGCCCATACAGCCTAGTCATAAATTATTATCAGTTCTTCATGAATGGAATAGATGTCTGAATTTTTTAATTGAAATTAAAAAAAAAATGGGGAGAAAAATATTTCATACACATTTTATATTAAACTTTATAGGAGTTGTAATTATCAAGCGTCAGAGTTCTTCATAAATACAATTTTTCTCATAAGAAGTAATAGTCTTAATTCTTATGCATTCGGTGTTTTTTTTTGACATTTGAAAATGGCGCCATAGAGCCGACATATTTTTTTTTTATTTGCTTTTATATGACTTTAGACATAATGGTATGGTAAGCTCGCCTGCGCCATTTGTATACGCTGGCGAAACACCAGGGTAGGATGATAGGTGACGATGAAAGCAGGTCAGTTTGCCCATCGTGATGAATTCCACTAGAACTAACCACGATGGTTTCCAGGGGGAACCGCGTGGAGGTCGACCTGATAGAGTGTATTGCTAGCAATGGGTCAGACCCCATTACTAACAATCCCTTTCCCCCGGACTTTAGACGGTTAACTACAGTCTCACTTGATGTTTAGTGACTATGTGGTCTAAGATATTACATGTAAACTCAAATAATGCCTATTATCTCTAGCTTTGAAAGGCTCCATGTTAAAGTGATCTCGAAGCACAGACGCTGGAAGACAATTCCATTCCTTGGCTGTTTGTATAAGAAATGATAAAGGCAAGTGTTTGGTGCGAATAGGTGGAACAGCAATTAAAACGATACATCCAATCTGTTTAAAAATTTAAAAACTATGGTGGAATAAAAGAACTCCTTATAAGATATATTTATCACGTTCTCTCTCATGTTATTTGATATTATATCCCGTACAAGCCCCAAGAATTTTTAAAAAACTCAAGGTATAAGGTTTAACAATATAAGATATTTAAATCAAAGAAAATTGAAAAAATCACCTCTTTGAAGTTTTCTGCAATGAAGACCACGTAAACACAAAGGGCAGCCAAGTATGTGCAGGTCAGTGCATAATCCACGAACGTTCTGTAAATTAAACATTGTGTTTTTGTATCAATAATTTACATTATGGATGCTATGATCGTTGTTTATGGCAGTCTATGGGAAAGGCCTATGTTTAGCAGTGGACAGGAGGCTTGTTTGAATTAAAGCGTTTGGCGTTGCATTGTTTCTATTTACTTTAATGGGAGAAAGGCGTGATAGATATATTGGTATGTATGTAATTTGTAAGCAATATATACCATATAATATGCCTATTTATATTATATCAGGAAAAACAGTACTCAATTCAAATAAAAAAAATAATTCTAATTATTTGCAACATTGATAAACAGAGCGTTTTATTTGATTAAAAATAAATCGTCAGCTTTGTTCTTAAGTGTCAGCTATAGGTTAAATTTTTACCTAAGAACAGAGGAATAACACCTGAATCCTCAGGAATGGCAACACATGGGCGGTATCATGGGCGAAACAGTATACTCTGTTATGTCCATGATACTGGTCATGTCTATAGGCGACGGTTACCACTTTCCATCAGGTGGGCCGTCAGCTTGTTTGCCATTCTAAGTTACATAAAAAATACCTTATTAGTATTAGTCGTTAACTGTCCACTGCTGAGCATAGCCTCCCCATAAGGACGGTTTTGCCAGTTGTTGCCACGCTTGGCAGTCACTATTAGGCTGTGATGATGCTTTAAGGACACCGCTGCCTATCTCTCTACCATTAAGTTCCCTTAGCTGCCTCTTACGACACCCACGAAAAAAGAAGAAGTGGCCTATTCTATGCCGAAACCACACGGTTTAATTTGTTTGTTACCTTATAGCGCCTTTATGCATATAATATAATTATATACATTTATTGTAAGGGATGGAGCCGGATATAGGCTACTTTTTTATCCTGGTTAGTAAAGATATCCTGGTCGCGTGGACAAAGTCGCGGTTAAAAGCTAGTCGGTTAAATAAACATTATGATATTATTTACCTTGCAAAATTAGCCCACGGTCTAAGTTTCTTAGGTCCATATTCAAACGCCGCACCGCATGTCTCCGCAAATCCCATTGATGGCTTCTTGGCGTCAACGCATAGCTCTTGAGATGTTCGAACCTGTTGGTATTAGTACATCTATACTTGTATACTAGTATTATTAAAAGGAATGATTTAGTTGTTTGTTTGTTTGTAATGGATAAATTAAAAAATTACTCAACCGATTTGAAAAATTCTTTTACTTGTAAAAAAATTAAAAAAAGCTACATTTATCAACGATATATCAATATTATCATCATATCAGCCTTTAACTGTCCACTGCTGAACATAAGCCTCCCCGTGAAAAATTTGCCAGTAGTTGCCATGCTTGGCAAGCAAATTAACAACTGCAGTTAGGCTTTGGAGATGTTTTAAGAGGGACGCTGCTGTGCATCCTTTGCTCTTCCTTAGTCGCTTTTTATGACACCCACGGGAAAGAAGGGGTGGCCTATTCTATGCTGGGACCACACGGTAATATACAAATATAACAATATAATATAGACTATATTATATTTTCTATCTATACGTGCGAAGTCGAGCTGGATCGCTAGTCTATGCTAATATTATAAAAAAAAGGTTTGATCGTCCGTTTGATTGTTTGTAATGGATAAACTCACAAACCACTAGATAGATTTTTTTTTAAATAATATATAGCCTATGTAACTCGCTGATAATATAGCTATTTATAGGTGAAAATATTTTTTAAATTAACTTTATAAATAAATAAACTTGGAGGTTTGGAGGTTATATTTCTCTTTAGTATAATAATAATAATAAATTAATTTCGTATCCTCACAAACAACTTAAATTTGCACATAGGTATTTAGGATACAATAAAATTATTATAATACGAACTCTACTGTGAAGAGCTGGTGTCTGAAATAGGTTAAAATCTGTAGTACGTAACACCAGGCCCCCAACCGACTATACAATCCAAAAATAAAAACAATAATAAATAGTAGGAGATAAAAGAAAGAACAATAAAATTAATGTTGAAAAAAAGTGTGTGTGTGTGTGAGTGTGTGCGTGTGTGTGTGCATGCGCGTGTGCGTGCATTGCGTGCGTGCGCGCGCGTGTGTGTGCGTGTGTGCGTGTGTGCGCTTGCGTGTGCGTGTTTGTGTGTTTGTGTGTGTGTAAACGTTCCTACCGAGATAAATTTTTAAATAAAACAATAAATATTTAATAGCAGGAAATAATTAACAATAAGTAATTGGCACGAGATAACGCCATGGAATTTATTATGTCCGCATACTGCAAATAGCATGAATTATGTATTAATTAAAATGGTACTTTGTATGATATTTATTTATACATATAAAGGATTGATTGGCGAGAATGCATATATAGCATTAAGTCCGCCTTTTGTACCAAACATTTTTTGTAATGTAGTCAATAAAAAAAATTATAGTAGTTATATATGTTACAGTCAAAACTCTTAATCAGTCAAAAGTACTTTTGATTGGTTAAGAGTTTTCTAGATAGAAAAAAACTTCAAAATAATGATAGAGACAATAAAGGTCATTGTCCATTAAACAAACATTTATACACAATAGGAGCCACAGACAGCCCTCTATGTCGAGGCTGTTTCGACGTCGAAGAAATGGCTGCTCACGTAATCCTGGAATGTGAGGCTATGGCCCATCAACGTTTAGAAATCCTCGGAACGGTGATGTCGCTCCGTGAGGCCTGTGAACAACCCAGGAAGCTTCTGCGCTTTTGGGCGGAGCTAGGTTGTCTGTACTAGCCACGACTTATACGCACAATGGCCCAAATGAGAGGCTAAGCGCGGAAAATAGAGTCTTTTTCACTTTCACTTTCATTTTCTGGTTAACAGTTTTGACTGCAACACATACATGGTATTGTAACGCTTTAACAGCACAAGGAACCCGATAATTCATGCAGAGACGTTTTATCGTTTATATATAATTATAATTTCGTTATATGTTTTTTATCAAAAGTTTTGGAATCAATATAACTGATTTTGCCATAATTGAAGTCGGTTTTCTTTGGAATATAATCTTTATTAGATTTTCTTTTCCCTCATTGAGAAAGGCAAAAGGACTTAGCCCATACAGCCTTTGAGTTAGTTATTTCGTAAAAATACAAATTATATTATAATCGATTTATAAATTTAGTTTCTAAATGAAAATAACTAGTTTTAGTTTAGAAGTCAGTTTAATTTAATAATATTTATTCGTACATACACACACACACACACACACACACACACACACATCACACACACACAGTGAGAGAGAGAGAGAGAGAGATATGCACGCACGCGCACGCGCACGCACACACACACACACACACACACACACACACACACACACAGAGAGAGAGAGAGAGAGAGAGAGAGAGATGCACGCACGCACACGCACGCACTTACTCTCTCACACACACACACACACACATAGTTACACTTGGGTAAGAATGTTTTCCGGTTTCCTTATTAGGATTCTACCTTTGAACACATTGTCAAAAGTTTATAAATTAATATATACACATGAAAAAGTTTGTAATGTCTCTAATTAAATCACTTACATTTGAGTGGCTGAGCAGAATTTAACGTAATCAAATTTATATATAAGTGGACAATATTGATTAATAGAAATTATTATTATAGATTACGTGTGATACCGGCATAGAATAGGCCACTCCTTCCTTTCCCGTAGGGAGGGCGAGGGATGGGTAGCAGCGTCCCTCTTAAAGCATCTCTAAAGCCTAACTGCGGTTGCCAATCCAGAATCAGTAACTACTACTAGTAAGGTGGAGGGTTATGTTCAGCAGTGGACTGTTAAAGACTGACAACATGATGATGATGATTCATATGTTTAAGAAAATTTTGGTTGTTTTATGATTAAAAAAAAAAACATCTATACGAGTATAATAAGTAATAAATAAATATTTTTTATTAGATAACGAATTAGGTTCAAACCCCCGGTACTCCCCGTTAATTGTTTTATAATCATTCTGTAGTTTAATATCGGAAAAAATATTAAGTTAATGGAATGGAAGTTTTTATGAAGACTCTTGGGTGATCGAGATAGTGATGATAATATAGACTAATGTTTATCTACGACTGTGCTCGCAGGACCGGAATATGTTGATCGATCAGGATTAACCAGAGGGAGGCTTTGTACAAAAGTCTTTTGCTTGGGTACCTCTGTCCCGTTCGTGTTTCTACCATGAAGCAGTTGTGTTTGCATGACTATGTTTCGGTTTGAAGGGCGGGATATGGCGTGAATTTACAGGGTACAATGGAATAACATCCGAGTCCTCAGGAATGGCAACATATGGGGTTTCATTGGCGAAACAGTATACACTGTTATGTCCATGATACTGCTCATGTCTATAGGCACCGGTTGCCACTTTCCATCAGATTGTGATTGCCGTCAGTTTGTTTGCCATTCTAAGTTGTATAAAAAAAAATTTAAAGTAGCCTGCGTATTTCTTCATGAAATAATTTTATTGTTCACTTCAATTCTGCCGTGATCACGACGTAGTGTAAAAATCAGCGGGTCTAACATGCAATGAAATTCCTAAATTACGGACTCAATTTCGTTCTTTTGTTTATACCAAAATCGGACCAATAAATGAAGTTTAACATTTCGTTCGTCATACATCCTATCATGAAAGTCCAAAGGAACAATATTTTAACATTTTTAATATTTCCAAACGGCATGTATTATGTAATTTTAACATCAAATTTCTGTTTCTTTTGGTTCCGCAATTTCGGAAAACATTTCATGGTAGGCCCTCAAATCTGTTAACCCATCGTGTCAAATGCAACAAGTATTAGTAACAATAGTTTCCAGGGGAAACCACGTGGAGGTCGACCTGACGGGGGTTGCTAGCAATAGGGCCATTAGCTCCCATTACTAACAATCCTTTTCCCCTCGGTGGAAAATATTGAAAATTATTATGGCCACGTAGTTACAGATATATCATTTATTGACAAAGTGTCGACTCTTACCATATTTATTTATTTATAATAATTTGATTAACCATACATAGTGTGTGGTTTAAAATATATTTTTTACAACAGAAATTGTATGCGGTATTATGTAAAATGATCCTATTTAGGCGCATATAGTAATGCAAATAATATAGGAATCTTTTTTTAAGATATATAAAATAGCAAAATCGTTGACGATCCAACGCAACATAACCGATGTCAATAGACGTGAACAGTATCATGGATGTCACAGAGTATACTTAATTCATCTGTAGATGCCCTACAGATGAATTAAGAACTTCTTCCATTTAGATGCAATATCTGTTCAACCTGCTTCTTTATTGCCGATGTTTCCTGTTAACTCCCGATAATGTATTTAACCCTCCGCCAACTGTGTGTTTTGTTGCACACTGTCAACCGTCACGGACGATATCGTCCCAGACGATAATTTGACCTACTTAAAGGTAGGGAAAAATTCCAAAAAAATTCGGGAAATTTGTTCTAGTTTTCTTTTTTCTGTTTCCATAGTTTTTGACTTGAATACTTTACCCGCTGGTGAAATAAAATTTTGTAATCTCTACAAAAACCATAATTTCTAAGATTTCACTAAAGAATCGATATTTATCTTGGATATAAATTAGTTTTAAGAAGAAATGTTTTTGAGATTTATTCTTCATATAAGCGCTTTTCAAAACCTTGCCTGTGAGGTACGTACTCAAACCCCTCTATAAATTTTTTTACAGAGGGGTTCAAGGCCCCGTGATTTTTTTTACAAAGATATGCATCAGGTATTAAAACACTTACCAATACATAAACACAGTGTGTACAGATAAATCCAACGATGATGGTTCCTAGCGCGCCGGCAGCCAGGCCGGCGTTCTTGAATGCAGCAGGCATCGCCAGGATGCCAGATCCGAGAGACGATTTCAGGAGATGTACCAGGGAACCGATTGTTCTGTTAATAATAAAAAGAAATAATACATTTAACAAATTTAGAACTACGAACGTAAATTTATTCAGTAATCGTTCATTGGCTACCTTCAAAAATGTCTTGATTAAAGTATTGAGTAAGCCGTGTCGTTTCAGTATAGAAAGGGCCACCCCTTCTTTTCTCGTGGATGTCGTAAAAGGTGACTATGGGAACTAAATGGTTTAGGGGTGGGCAGCAGCATCCCTCTTAAAGCATTATTAAAAGCTAACTGCACTTATCAATCTGTCCGCCGAACGTGGTAACTACATGTAAGATCTCCCTTATAGAGAGGCCTATGTTCCGCAGACAATTAGTGGCTAATATGATGTTATCGGTTCGGAAATATTGCTGCTGGAAGTTGATTCCAAAGCATGGATAGACATCAGAAATTAATTACTTTCTTGTATATACATATTTATTACCCAGGTAAAATTTAAAACGACGAAAAAAATTTTAGCTTTTCATATTTTTTAATAATAGTTTCAACATGTGATGATAAAACAAATGCCAGTAGAAGCAATTCGGTTGTACATCGGTACAAAATCCATGCACAGGAGCAATTCGTAAGCTAGGTGAACCTAACACACTGTTTTATTCCGCTATGCCATCTTCTCTCTTTTCATTTAAGAGTTTTCTCTTGTCAGTGCAACTAATTCATGCATCTTCTTCCAGCCAGTTCTATCCCTGGCCATATCCTTGACCTTCCTATACGACATGATACCTAGTGTTTCTTTTATTTGTCCCATGTAGTTATTTCTCGGTCTTCCTCTTCCTCTTTTGCCCTCTATTTTTGTCTCTACTATGCTCTTAAAAAATCGTCAAGTCGTATGCCATCTACTACGAAAATATTATATTTCAAATTTGTGGACGAAGGTCTTTTACCAGTGCGTGTTACCAGTGATGACCTATGGTACTTGGTAACTTAGTTTTATATGGTTACCCGTATGCAGGAGTTTTGTTACTCAGTGAGCTATGGAGAGAACTGTACTCGGAGTTTCTTTGTGTAACAGAATCCGAAATGTGGTATCCGCAAAAGAACCAAAGTGAAAGACATAGCCCTAAGGATAAGCAAGCTGAAGTGGCAATGAGCTGGTCACATAGTTTAAAGAAACTATTACCGATAGAGAAAAAAGGTTCTTGAATTGTGAGTTCGTACGGACAAATGTAGTCAAGGACGATCCCCCACTTGTGAGTGACGACCTCAAATCCATTGCAGAGAGTCAGTGGATGCAAGTGGCTCAGGACTGTTGTTTCCTTATGGCAGTCTATGGGGAAGGCCTATACTCAGCAGTGAGCAGATAACAGCTGATGTTATGATGATGATGTCACTTACTAGTTAGCTTTTTTTTTAGGTTATTTGTCCCATGAATACACATTGTAAATACTTACGAATTTGGATGTTCCACTTGTCTATGTTCGAACGGATTGTATGGTTTCTCATTGATGACATCTTTTGAGCCCAGAGTTAGTGTCGACTGGAAACCTGGGTTGGATGCAAGGTTGGCTCTGAAAAAAAAAAGTTTTTTTTATAATAAAAAATGAAACATCAGATTAATAATATCTTTGATTATATTTTAACTAGGTGTTAATTTGCGGAACTCCATATCGCGGGTGGTAGTTTTTGACCGCAATTTTGTATGCGTGGTTTTGGAAGTGGATAATCTATAAAACCTCCTAGGAACCTATTTTAGCTATTGAATGATATTTTTAATTTGTTTCAAATTAAGAATTTAGTGCAAAAGAAAAAACAAAACACTTCAATAGTTAAAAGAAGTTCATGACAGGCGAGGTTTCTATGAATATGTGGACACTTCTGTACTCGTATTTAGACGAAGCTAATTTACATATAGATTGTGGTAAGTAACGAATGCCTGTCTGTATGTCCACGAGACAATAAAGTGACTATATTAGCGGTTCTTTAGTGTTGCAAATAGATGCAATAATAAACGTAACATTAGTTACGAGACATATCAAGTGCTAATTACGACAAGAACATTCAATTAGCTTCCGAAATTCTAATAAGGTATAGATAGATAGATACTTTTAGTGTTTTGTTTAAAAGATAGAAGAGAAAGAAGAACTTATTATAGATACAAATAATTACAAGAAATAATCATAGTGTTACTATAAGAAAACATCTGCCCTTCATACGCTTTCTGTTTTTACCTAATGGTTAGCTGGTAGAGAATGCTATATGGCATTAAGCTCGCCATTTGTACAAAATTTTATTGTGCAATAAAGAATAAATAAATAAATACAAATAATTACAAGAAATAATCATAGTGAGAAAACAATGGGCGATCTTATCGCTAAAAGCGATGTCTTCCAGGCAACCTTTGGATGGAGAGGAGTTTGATCGGGGGCACGATGAAAATTCTATCATTTCTAAATATAGAGATACATATAATAATGGAAATATATATATACACAATAAGAAGCTAATCGTTAATTTATTTAATACTGCTAAAACCAAGGTTTACATCTAATATCCCTTATTTATTGCTGAAGTACATCATTTCCTGGAGCGTCTACTTTTCATCTCTTGAATATTTAAACGAGCTAGTAAAGGATAGGGTATATTTTATGAATAATAATAGGTATCCGTCTGACCCACTACGAAGGTAATCAGTTGATAAATGGAAGCCAGGAATAGCGTACAATCTAGCCACAACCAAGTTTAGGATGATTTGTAACGAGATGAGATGAAATGTATCTACATATTCGGTTCGCGGATATTTCTTTATAATTTAAAACAAACATTACATTAATTACACTATATAAAATAAACATTAATTAAATAATTTTTGATATGGCAATGAGAAATTCTCCATATGTCATTAACTAGCGAACCGCCCCGACTTTGCATGTTTTATTTTAAATAAAACACAACTCAAGTTACTCGCTGGTAATGTAGATTTCTACAGGTGAATGAGTTTCTAAATTGGATAAGTATTTTGTAAGTATATCCATTACAAACAAAATGATAAGACCGCCTTTTGTACTTCATATGTGTAATATATACAATATAAGATATATAAATATTCTGTATTGTATTATTCTTTAAGTGGTGCAATAAAGAGTAAATAAATAAATAATTTAAATAAATAAAAAAATCTTTTCTTTTTATAATGGTAATTTAGATTATCGACTTAGTCCTCTAGACAAGTGGCAAGTGAATTTGTCGATGGAATCGCATCGCTACTGAGTTAATGAGTTGGAATGAGTCAACCGGCGTTGCTATCTCATTCTATTTCACGGACTCGCTAGCGATGTCGATTCCATCGATGAATTCGCTTGCAACTTGTCTAGAGGGCTCGAAATAGTTTCGAATAGATAGTTAAGAAGTATATTTTTTTTAAATAAAATACAGCCCATGTTAGTTGCTGATAATATAGCTTTCTACGGGTATTGATTAAGTATATTTGAGTTTATTTATTTCACATAAATATAGAAATATTTTCTCTTTACAATGTAGATCAGTTGTGTTTTATAGCTTTTGTATGCATGGATTTGGAATATAGGAAACTTATGTATTAATTTCGGAAGTAATCTATTACAAGATGTTTTGATTCAATTGGCAGCGACAGATTGATAAAAATATGATTGCATAATTAATATTTTAGTTCGCTAGCAAAGCACTTTATAAATAACTAGCGGCCTGCCCCGGTTTCGCATGGTTGGGCATTGTTTTAAACATTTTGTAATAAACGTACAGTAAATGTATCTTTAGAGAAGTCTAAACATTCAATGTTGGTAGCATCCGTTGCGTAGCACGATAAGAAGTGTCTCATATTAGGCAAAAGGAACTGGTTCAACTGATGCTGTGAGTGTCCCAGTGCAATGTGTACAGCTGCACAGTGCTGGTTTTCAGCTAGTCCCACTCTTAACATTTTAGATATAAGTTTTGATCTCGGACTCGACACCATTACTAGATTTTTTTACAACACAGGGGCAGACGAGCTTGCGGCTTACCTGATGGTAAGTGACTACCTTCGCTCATGATCACCCGCAACACCAATGGCATTGCAGGTATACTATCGGCCTTTTAAAAAGGAATATACTATTTTCTTGAAGGTTACGTTGTCGCATCGGTTCGGAAATACTGCTGCTGGAAGTTGATTACAAAGAGTGGTTGTGCGTGGAAGAAAGTGTCTTGAAAAACGCACGGTGGAAGACCGCCACCCGTCCAGATGGTTGGGATGAAACTTTAGTTTATGGCGGGTTGTACGGTGGTGAAAATCAGCAGCAGTTATTAATTCGAACAATTCCTCAGATTTATTACATAAAACGTAATAGTTGTTATACTTACGTGGAATTGAAATTTTCAAGGACAATCGTCCCTCCCTTTTTGTCGTCTAGCTTCATTTCGTGGAAATTCTGCAACAAAAGGTAAAATAAATCATGTAACCTTTATTCAGTTCGAGAGCTCAGAAAACCTTAATACCCAAATGAGGTCAGCCATTTTTTCTGAACCTCAGATTCAAAATTCAAAATTCAAAAATCATTTATTCATGTAGGACATTTTAGCCGCTTATGAACGTCAAATTTTTACATTATAATTTTATATTTTCCCTACCGTCCAGTTCGGTATATAGATCCAATTGAGAAGAACTGGCAAGAAACTCAATTGAATTACTTTTTTTTTAAAGCCAGTTTATTTACAATGTATATTTATATAGGTGTCTATGTCTAACATTAAATGAAAATGAAAAAGATGTTTCATAATACAAACTAAAAATACATCGGTCTGTATTTAGGTACCGACTGATATTCCCATTTTTCATAGATATCTCTTTTATTATTTATTTGAAAATATTGTATTTTTATATATATAACATTTTTATTAGTAAACAGTCTTATCTTTTTATACAAATAATCCTTACACCCTTAGACTTAACGATCCTTACTTATAAATGTGAAAGTGTGTTTGTTTATTCATTATTTGTTACCTCTTGGGGTCTTAAATATTATATGGAGATAAAAAAAGGAGCCTATGTCCTTCTTAATACCAAATATCGTGTATATCCTTATATTACATTATTATATTTATATCGTATTTCATGACGTTTGGTTTAGTAGCCAAGCATTAACAAATAAACTCATTTTCACATTTTTAATATTTATAAGGATTATTAAGTCTAAGCCGTGTGGTCCCGGCATAGATTGGGCCACTCCTTCCTTTCCCGTGGGTGTCGTAAGAGGCGACTACGAAAATTTAATGTTCGAAGGATGGGCAGTGGCGTCCCTCTTTAAACATAATAAGCCCTACTGTGGTTGCCAATCCGCCTGCCAAGCCTAGCAACTACTGATAAAACCTCCTTTATTGGCAAGGTCTATGTTAAGCAGTAGACAGTTCACGGCTGATATGATTAGTAGATATCTAATGTTATTTTTACACTATTTGAAATTATTTTTTCCTTATATTATTAATGTGACACTAAATTTCTATGTTTGTTATGTATGGTAACTTATTTATTTAAACTATAATGCATAGCAAAATTCTATGTACATTTGGCGGATTTAACATTGGACAGCGTACTCTACCAAGCAGCCATTGGGCAAACCGAGAAATACGTAGGCGGTGCATTATTGAATAGAGGAAAAATAAAACAATACTTGATATATTCATATAAACTAAATATAATTAGACTAATATAAACATACACATAATATATTAAATAAATAAATATATAAATACAATAAATATATACGTAAATAAATACATAAAATATTACTAAACATAAATGTCATTGAAATTTTGTATACACGCACTATAAGAGAACTATAAGGCTTTTTATCCTGGTCAGTGAACATATCTCGGTCACTCGGGCGAAATCGTGAGTAAAAGCTAGTTCAGAACAATCTAGCTAAGTGGTTCCGTGGGCTATAAAAATATTAACATGTTCCCTGTACGGCATTAGCATTTCGCCGCATTTGTGTTTTGATGATGGCCATTTTATGGCCTTGTTTTGCTCGTTGTGCGATGTGCAGTGGGTTTTTACCGAAGCTTGACTTTCCTATGTGCATAATACATGGGATACTAACTTTATGACTTGCTATTTGCCCGACACTTAGTTCGAGTGGGTTCAAACGTAGGTAAATCAATGAAATAAATTATTTGCAGATGCAGTATCAAAATAAATGATACACTAGTTTTTAGGATAGATCTTAACTTTATATATATACATAAATACATATCTGTATAATATACAACCATAATTCTAACGATAAATTAGTATAGCAGATAAAAAGAAAATAAGGTAGAAAAATATCTACGACTGAAGCAAAAAGTACAATTAAAAAAACAAAAGAATGGAATAAAGAGAGAAAAGAAAATTATCACATATATTATAGAATTAATAACTTAAAACTGGCGTATAATTTGGACACACCATCTAAAAGTTTAAATTTTAGTTTATTAGTTTATTTTATTGGTTCAAAATCCACGCGTTCAAGCTTCGGGGAGGAACTTAGTTTAGAGTATTGATAAGGATTGTTACACGAGTGTGGTAGAAGTTAACGAAAGTCGTGCAGGTGTGTCGGTTATAGAAGAACTTACCGTTCAAGTTTTCCAGCTGTTTTAACTTGCAATTATTTGAAGTTTTAATTGGAACGCTTTTAACTTTTCCCAGGTTAAACACTTCATAGACAATACAAAATTAAAGCAATTACTCAAAAGTACAAAAATTTGAGCATATTAAATTCATTAATTATATTGAATTGATTAGTGATAAGGCCGACTTTTGTATCACTTTAACTGTGTTTATAATTTTATTACTTGGTGCAATAAAGTATAAATATACAAATAAATATTAAATTAGCAGTATAATGATAAATTAATTAAATAAATGGTGTTAATTCAGCTTTAACATCTGTAATTGATTAGGTGTAATAAAGTTTAATAAATAAATGTAATTTATTATTTATTATTACAAAATTACAACATATTTTTACAAAACACATAAAAACACATAACAATTGGAAAAGATACCAACACTGGATTTTTTAATTTCTTTTTTAAGTTCTTTCTTACTTTAAAATTAGGTTTATTTTATACTAAAGACACTATTAAAACTTTTAATTTCTACTAAACTCATCTTCAACTTAGTTGTTATTTTTCTTGTTTAAAACATTTTTATATTTTATTTGTCATTGCAATACTCAAGTCCTTCAAGCACTCGCTTGATTTGCGACTTTTTCGAAAAAAACCGGTTCAATAACTTGATTTTAAGATTCAGTCAAAGTTTTGAAATTCGGATAAGTGAGAATTGAATACTTTTAAAGGGGGTTCTGTAGCATATAATATTAATTGATGAAGATCTTTTAAGTCCAACAATATGTCTCATAATATTATATAAAATTTGCACATTAACACGCTAAAAACCGAGTCAGGGGGACGTTAGAAGTTAAACAGAACACATCCAGATTTATTCAAATTTTTTGTTTCTCTGTCTGTTTGTCTGTTTGTACGGGCTAATATCCGAAACTGTTGAATCGATTTAAATGAAATTTTGCATGGTAGTACCTTCCATCACCGATCAACATTTTAAATCACTTTTAATCTCGGAAAATTAACGAGTTCCCGTGGGATAATTAAAAAACTATAGGAACTTATATAGCTTAGTACACAACTTACTTAAGTAAAGTCATTTAGACCTAAGGCAAAGAGTGAGAACGTCATTTGTTAACTTTGGTCCAGTATTCTCAGACATAATAAATAAGTAGGTACATATACCAATACATACTAAACAGGAATAACAAATACCACGCGAACAAAGTCGCGGGTATCAGCTACTTTGTAATAATTATAATCTATAAACATATTAAGACTACTAGGTTTTATTATTTCTTTTTACATTGATAAATTAGGGCAAATAAAAAAAAAAACAAAAGATTTCAATAGCTAAAATATATTTAAAAGTGTAGTTTGACGTTTTATGAATACAAGGGTTTTCAATGCACGGAACCCTAAGAAGGAGTGGCGAAGTAAAAACAACATTATCGTTTCGCCGCCGCCTCTTACATTAAGGTTGCTTCGTCAACATTCACGTCATGTAGCGAGTGAAGCATACCATGCAAAGTTGTCTGAATCGTTGCTTGGAAAGGTAACACAAAAAAAAACATTATATATATATATATATATATATATATATATATTCGATTGTGATGGGAATACCCTTTACCCGCTGATGGGAATACCCTTTAATATTGTTCACACAATATGTCCCCATCATATAGTACGTGAATCATTTCATGTATTATATAATAATTTAGTTTAGCTGTTAACTGATATGGTAGCAAAAATTAAGTTTTTATATATCCATGCTGCTATAGTTGTCTGAATAATCATTAATTTGCTATTTTGGAAAGTATTTTTAAAACTTACATTTTTTTAAATATATATATATATATATATATATATATATATATATATATATATATATATATATATATATATATATATATATATATATATATATATATATATATATATAACATCATCATCATCATGATTAATTGGCCTGTTTTCATTTTCATCTATCTAATGTTTACCCTTCATCATGGTATTTACTGGAATGGGGAATGACAATCAGTATCTACATCTTGACATAGTATGGCCATGGTCGAGAAATGGGTAGCATCCCGTTAGCGCAGGCGGGGAAACTATCATGGGTAATTCCTGATGAATTCATCATGATAGATCTCCATACCATTTTCACCCATTAAAAAAAAACTGCGGTTGTCAATCTGCTTGCCAAGCGCTGCATTTACTGGCTTCCCCTTATGGGAGAGGCATATGTTCAGCAGTGGACAGTTAACGGCCGATAAGACAAAGAAGATTAAGAACTACATTCTTGTCATGCGAACGAAGTTGCGGTTAAAAACTAGTAAGTGAATAAAATACAAGACCCACGCGCACAGATGTTCGTTATATTAGAAAACTAATTTATTACAATTTATGTTGTAAACAATATTGAATATAAATAGTACAAGAGACAAAATCGTATTGAAATGTTTTTATAAACTTTGCATAAATATAACGTCTAGACACGAAGCTTTATTCTCGATAAATATTCTATTTTGATCATGTCTCTTCTTAGAATAAACAACTTTTATTTATATAATTTTTTTATATTTTATTTTTATGGTACTTGTTTTTTATTTTTCTTTATTTTAACTTGAAACTGTGTAATAAATGAATGTATTTGTAGGCTCTCTGGATATGTTTGGTAATTTTACATAAATTATAGCTATGATAATTATTTATTGCAATGCAAATAGTTCAAATCTTCGTTGTCTTGGTTTCTTACTAATTTAATTAACCGATTTTTATTTCGTGGTATTTTAAATTATGATAGAATGTTTCCACTGTAGAA